CAATTGTCTTTTGAGTGTCTCGTGAGGGGTAAGGCCTAATAATGGAACATTGTGGCCAAATTTCCTTCTTGCACTCTGTTTAATCATTCTTTTAAAGTTTTGTGTTTTGCAATGTGGAGCTATAAGCTCTTTTAGTTCAAAGAAATCCATGTAAGACCATCAGCATCCCTCCATGTCCCTAATCTGTAACCATGAGATTTCCTGCATAGGTTTCAAAATTTTTCCCCCACAAGTAAATCTTTGTTATATATTCCATGCAGTGATGCTTCATTTCTGAGCCAGAAAAATGAGCCCATGTCACAGTGCTGTGAAGAAATATTTTCTTAGTGTGATAATAATTATTGTCAAATTTCAATTCTTGAAGCTTTAATCTCTGCGAACTCCTCTTTCACAAACCTTCCAACATTGAAGAACATCAATAATGTAACCCATGTGTTCCGGTGAAACTCAAAACTTAATAGCACAAATCACTGCTTCTTGATTTGCCATCTTTACATTTTTTGGTTCAGTATTCTTGTCAACAAGTTGCCACCAAAAACAGCTGGCATTCAGTGGCAAATTACAATTGGAGGGACTCCTTTGGCTGTCAAATTTCAATCATGGTGTGTTGCTTAAAAAGCATTGATGAATATTCACTGCAGGCTTCAATTTCATGAACAATAGCAAGCCAACCTTTCTCACAGCAATTTCCTACCAACAGGAGTGAAAAAACATGCTAAAAAGGTGTCACTATTGCCATCTGTTGGAGATTTATAACATTAAAGATGTTACATTTCTCTCTCTCTCTCTCTCTCTCTCTCTCTCTCTCTCTCTCTCTCTCTCTCTCTGTGTATATGTATGAATTATTTCTGTTTGTCTATCTATTGATAACATTTAATAAAAATAGACTAATAAAACATGATTCACTGCAAAATGTGATGGCTATAGATCAACCTCACAAAGAGAAATGGAAGCAGTAGATTGTTGTACACATGGATTTTAAGTGGAAAATATGTTAAAATTTACCTGTGCCATTCAAGCATAAGCAGAGCTTTTGATCTTGACCTCCTCTGTTTTCTTTTATGGATAGCATACAAATCTGAAATGCATGAGCAATCAGGACTGTGTGAGACAAAATAATAATAATAAATGTGGGTGGACAGATTCTTTTAAGAACAAGCTTTCATAGCAATAGGAACTTAAAAACATGTAGCCACCTATGCTTTCAATTACAGAGATAAGAAAGTGGCAAGTAATTCCAGTTGATTCTCTTGGCATCTGAGCCCCTTCTCCCCCTTCCCATAGGAAAGCTCTTAGAAAGTAAAATAATGCTGATTTCCAGATTGTTTTTAATATTAACGTTAGACTTGCTCAGTTCTCCTTTTTTTAAAATATTGTATTTGTATTTAATTTTATTTATATGCCGCCCAATCCCAAAGGACTCAGGGCGGCGTACACAGATTAAAACAATCATAAAACAATAAAATAATACAGTCATACCGCGAGTCCGATCATATCCCGCCCCCCCCCCGGGGACATCAGCCCCAGGCCTGCCGGAACAGGAGAGTTTTAACAGCTTTCTTAAAGGCCGGCAGGGTGGGAGTAGTTCGAACCTCGGGGGGAAGTTGATTCCATCATGTCGGAGCCACCACAGAAAAGGGCCTTCCCCGAGGGCCCGCCAGCCGACATTGTCTGGCCGACGCGACCTGAAGGAGGCCCAATCTATGGGACCTCACCAGTCTCTGGGAACTGTGCGGCAGAATGCGGTCCTGTAAGTAACCTGGCCCTATGCTATGAAGGGCTTTAAAGGTGATAACCAACACCTTGAATTGCATCCGGAGACCCACAGGAAGCCAGTGCAGCTCGCGGAGGATAGGTGACACGTGGGCGTACCTTGGCGCGCCCACAATCACTCTCGCGGTTGCATTCTGAACGAACTGCAGCCTCCGAACGCTCTTCAAGGGTAGCCCCATGTAGAGCGCGTTACAGTAATCCATTCTTGAGATGACAAGGGCATGAGTGACTGTGAGTAAAGCCTCCCAGTCCAAATAAGGCCGCAACTGGTGCACTAGGCGAACCTGTGCAAAGGTCCCCCTGGCCACAGCTGATAGATGTTGTTCCAAATTTAGCTGTGAGTCCAGGAGGACACCCAAGTTGCGTGCCTGCACTGAGGGAGGTAAATTTGCCCCCCCCAGGACTAATGATGGACCATCCAGTTGGCCTTTGGGAGGCAAGACCCAGAGCCACTCGGTCTTGTCAGGGTTGAGTCTAAGCCTGTTCACCCCCATCCAGACCCTCACATCTTCCAGGCACCGGCACATCACGTCGACTGCTTCACTGAAAGGACACGGGGTGGAGATATATAATTGGGTATCATCCGCATACTGATGATACCTCACCCCGTGTCGCCGAATGATCTCACCCAGCGGTTTCATGTAGATGTTAAAAAGGAGGGGGGACAGGACCGAGCCCTGAGGCACCCCATGATCGAGGTGCCTAGGGGTCGATCTCTGTCCGCCCGCCAACACCGACTGCGACCTGTCAGAGAGGTAGGAGGAGAACCACCGCAATACGGTGCCGCCCACCCCCACCTCTCCGAGACGACGCAGAAGGATACCATGGTCGATGGTATCGAAATCCACTGAGAGGTCAAGAAGCACCAGGATAGAGGAATAACCCCTATCCCGGGCTTGCCAGAGGTCATCGGTCAGTGCGACCAAAGCAGTCTCAGTGCTGTAGCCGGGCCTGAAACCAGATTGAAAAGGGTCCAGATAATTAGTTTCATCCAAGGATCGCAAGAGTTGGGACGCCACCACCTTCTCTACAACCTTCCCCACAAAGGGGAGGTTGGAGACGGGACGAAAGTTCTTCAAAACAGCTGGGTCCAGGGAAGGCTTCTTGAGGAGGGGCCTCACCACCGCTTCCTTTAAAGGTTGCAGGAAAGACCCCTCCATCAAGGAGGCATTGATTATCGCCTGGAGCCAGCCTCATGTCACCTCCCTACTGGCAGAAACCAGCCAGGAAGGGCACAGGTCCAATAAACAGGTGGCGGCATTCATTGCCCTCACGGCCTTGTCCACTTCATCAGGGGTCACAGGCTCAAACTCGCTCCAGATAACATGACTAAGACCAGCCCCTGGCAACTCGGCTGGCACTGCCCAGTCGGAGTCCAGATCTCTCTGAATCTGAGCGATTTTGTCCGAAAGAAACTGAACAAACTCCTCAGCTCTCCCCTGCAAGGGTTCCTCCGCCTCCTCCACTTTAAGAAAGGAGCGGGTCACCCTAAACAAGGCGGCCGGGCAAGATTCTGCGGACGCAATAAGTGTGGAAAAGTGAACACGCTTTGCCGCCCTTATCGCCACTAAATAAGTCCTAAGATAGGCTCTTAATAGTGATCGGTCAGATTCAGAGTTACTGGCCCTCCAACGTCGCTCTAGACATCTCTTGTGGCGCTTCATCTCCCGGAGCTCCTCAGTAAACCAAGGCGCCCTCCGGGGACCACCACCACAGAGAGGTCGCAAAGGCGCAATTCGATCCAGGGCCCCGGACGCCGCCTCATTCCAGGCCGCAACCAGGGACCCGGACGAGTTGTGGACAAGGGAGTCAGGTATTTCCCCAAGCTCCTCCTGGAACCGATCTGGGTCCATTAGGCGCCTGGGGCGGAACCACCTAGTCGGCTCCCTCTCCCTGCGATGGGGGAGTGATGTTCTGAAGTCCAGCCTCAATAGGAAATGATCTGCCCATGACAAGGGCAAGATCTCTATTCCCCTTAATTCCAGATCATGTCTCCATTGCCCCAAGAGAAACACAAGGTCGAGTGTGTGACCACCCCTATGAGTTGGATCCTGAATTACCTGGGTCAGGTCCATGGTTGCCATGGAAGCCATGAACTCCTGCACCGCCTCTGAGCGATCGCCGAGTGATGGTAGGTTAAAGTCCCCCAGTACTATAAGTCTGGGGAACTCCTACGCCAACCCGGCTACTGACTCCAGCAATGCAGGCAGGGCTGTTGCAACGCAGCTGGGAGGTAGGTATGTCAGCAGCAAGCCCAACCGAACCCGTGAACCCAACTTCAATAGGAGAGACTCACACCCAACAACCTCCGGGGCAGGAATCCCACGAGGACTCAAGGACTTCCGAGTGATGACTGCCACTCCCCCACCCCTGCCCTGATGTCGAGGCTGATGAAGCACCACAAACCCGTCTGGGCACATCTCCAAGAGGGAAACACCCCCCTCAGGGCCCAGCCAGGTTTCGGTTATACATGCCAGGTCCACCCCGCTGTCCAATATTAAATCACAGACAAGGGGGGCTTTGTTGACAACGGACCTGTCATTTAAGCATTAAATAATTTAATCATTGCCTCAAAAAATTAATTTCCATGACTGCAAATGTTCATGAACTCAGTTTTGTTCATTTTTATGGGTACAATGAAGATTCCACTGTACCCATCAAAAATATACACTCACCTTCTCATACCTCAAGATGTGAAAAATGCAAAAAAAGAAATGTGAAGTTCTGTCAGAGGTTATCCCAACTCACCAGCTTCCTCAAAGGATTTTTCCAAATACAAGTTTTCAAATACAATTTATTTGAAAACTGTTTTGACATAACTGTAACTGACTTAAGGGATCATAAACTAGACATCAATTTAGCGGCTCAAACACTCACTGATGGCAGCCTTGCCTATAATAAATGCATTACTGTGTTTCCCCATAAGTAAGACCTACCTCGAAAATAAGCCCTAGCTTGATTTGGAGGAGTGCCTAATATAAGCCCTACCCCAAATTTAAGCCATAGTTTTGGGGCAAGGCACACACCTAAAAACCAAGCTAGGGTGGGGGTGGGGTTGTTGAGCTGCCCTAGGCACCCCATACCCACTTACCTGTCAGCCAGGCCTCTCCTCACTGGCCCAGTTCTTCTATAGCATCCCCAGGTCTGCATTTCATAGTCAGGCCTTTCCAGAAGGCCCCTGCAGCCGAGAACCAAGATATAGATTTAATCCATAGTTTGTTTCTCAGTTGCAGGGGCCTTCCGGAAAGACCTTTGCTGCAAGCCAGAGCTCCATTCTCAGCTGCAAAATGAAGTTGCTCCTTCGGCCCCAGAAGGCTGGGCGGATGGGACTGTTGGTGCCGGAGGTGAGTGGAAAAGACACCCCATGAAAATAAGACCTGGTGCCTCTTTTGGAGGAAAAAAAAACCCCTGGTCTTATTTTTGGGGAAACACGGTAACTATGAATCTAGATGGTCAAGTTATTCAATACTGCTTTTTTTTTAAATTTAGTTGTATATTTTTAGACAAAAGTTGGCAATCTTTTAGGACAACTACAGATTTGAATTTGAACATAGTTGGGATTTTAATGAGATTGTGGCTGTTTTAACTTATTTTATACTCTATGTAAGCCACAAGAGTTATTTGATTGTGTGGAGTAGATAGTAGAAGAATAAATAAAGGAATAAGCACATAAATGTTGATTTTGTGCAACATTAACTTTTTGTTTTGGAATCCAGGGAAAAAGGGTCCCAAATCTTTTTCCAAACCAAAAAAGAAAAATAAAGAAAAATTGTAAGGATAATCATGCAGAATGATTTGTACTGGGCTGTTTATGTGATCAATTACAAACTGACCTGGAAACTCATCAAGGTGAATTTATCCATTCTGTTTTCCAAAAGGTTTTCAAGAGAATCGAAATAGTGTGATAAAAGTAATAACAATGTGGGTGTTGTGGTTTGTAATCCAGAGTTAGAAAAAAAAAGCCTTCTCAGTTAAGATATCCTTTTGGGAATTTCGTTCTTTCTGCATGCCTCTCCAGTGTTTTCTTTTTTATTTATTTTTAGCTAAATTAGCATAGACTTACTGGTAGCATGACTATTTAATTTGGATTGACCGATCTATAAGTTTTTGATCAGATAGGTATTAATTCAGTTGGCTTTTGGATGTTTTATTTTGCTGATGAGAATTCAAAAAGCAATCAGTGATTATGTATATATGAGATCTGTCATTTTCAATCAGTAAAGAAGCTAAAGTATATGCACAAATACTTTCATGAATGCCTTCTGCTGATCTCTGTCTGTCCATTGTCCTGGTGATGAAGAAATATTTATTCCCACTAACTTAAGGACTTGAAGCTTATGTTCATGCTGATTTGGCTTAGTATTTCATAAAATTATTACATTTTAGAAACTGATTCAAAATGACAGTCAGTCAGAGAATAGTTTAGGATGATGCTTCCTGCCTTTTCTCTAATACTTTATGAATAATAGAGGAGCTGTTATGAATACAGATGGAAGGATAGATGTCTACTGTAACTGCAAATCAACAATAGAGGTAAACTACAACAGATGATGCCAATAGAACATTCTGGTGGAATTCTAAAAGATACCCACGTTAGCACAAGATTTTTATCAATTACATACCACATACATGGTATATGTGGTGAGTATTTTCTTCCAAGCATGAAAGTGCCACAGGACAGAAATTTTATCTGGTGAGAATTCCAATGCATCTTCTCTCTTTTTCCTTTCTCTTTTTTCCCCTCATATATTTTTTTCTTTTCTTTTTCTTTTCTTTCTGATGAAAAGCAACAGAGGATAGGCATAATTTGCTATACATTATATGGATAAATCCATCAATAGTTACATAGGTAGTCACAGAGAGGGTAGGAGAAGAGGGAGGAGTCATGTCTAATTGTCTTTCCAGTGTGATTTCTCCTCTCTCTGTGTGTATAGATATAGATACACAGACAGACGATAGATAGATAGATAGATAGATAGATAGATAGATAGATAGATAGATAGATAGATAGATAGATGGATAGATAGATGATAGACAGATTGATAGATGATAGACAGATAGATAGATGATAGACAGACAGACAGACACATAGAGATGGAATAAAGCAGATATTTGGAAGAAACATAGGGATAATTCCAAGTCTGCCATTTACTTAAATGGTAACTGTGATACTTCATTAAGTAAGAAAAAGGTAGAATTTTAAAAGGATTCCTCCACTAAGTGAAGAAAATATAGTTTTGTTAAAATATGGTTTTAACAAATTGTCTTCATAACATTATCATGCCTATTGTATGGTAAATTTATTTATGTATTTATTTATTTATTTATTTATCAAATTTCTATACCACCCATCTCACCTAACTCTGTACTGTTAACAAGCAATATAATAAAATGATATAAAAATGACAATATGATGGAATTATTCAACCCAAGTTATTTTTTACAGAGCTTCAATATACACAATACTATCTTAAACTCTGATATTTCAAGAACACTCATTTTTCATCTTCAAATAAAAATGAAACTCCACAAACCTCCGTGCTGAGTGACATTTAGAAAAATATCTTCAGTGATTGGAACAATTTAATTCAGGAAATCAAGTGACAGCATGTCTGATCCATGGTGGTTCAGATTTATCAGAGTAGGAAACTGATAACTAACATTGTCTGTCTGTCTGTCTGTCTATCTGTCTGTCTGTCTATCTATCTATCTATCTATCTATCTATCTATCTATCTATCTATCTATCTATCTATCTTGCCATTGATTCCTCTTTGGCTTTTGATGTGAAAATAATTACTTTGTATTTAAAAAGCTCTCTAAAGGAACACTCAAAGACATCCCAAATTTCAATGTACCCTTATATGCTTGATCCATTTCTATCTATCTATCTATCTATCTATCTATCTATCTATCTATCTATCTATCTATCTATCTATCTATCCAATGCTTTTTTTCTAAAAAAAAAAAAAAAAAGGTGCCGGAACTCACACACATCATACAACCCGCCTTGCCTACTCTAAAAGGTTCCATCCAAAAAAGGTGCCGGAACTCCGTTCTGGGCATTCTATGAGAAAAAAAAGCCCTGTTTCTGTCTGTCTGTCTGTCTGTCTGTCTGTCTGTCTGTCTGTCTGTCTGTCTGTCTGTCTATCTATCTATCTATCTATCTATCTATCTATCATTATCTTTCATCTATCATTTATCTATCTGTCTTCATCTAATCTATCATCTATTTGTTTTTTTACACTTATACCTATACCTACACACAGTTACATATGCTTGATGGAATATTTTATTATATTCACTTAATAATGCCTAAAATAATGGTGTCTGCTCTGATTGCAGCAGTTTCCTCATAGATAGTATGATTTCTCTATTTTCACTTCAACAGACAGGCAACTCCTACGTAATTTCACAATTAAATTTTATGAAATGATTGCCAACTTCTTTGTAGCTATTTTGGGAATCCTTTTTTAAGAATACTTTATACAGAATTAGATGATGTATTAGACATTATAGGTGCTGCTGCACAATCATTCTCAGCATTCCACTTCATTAGGGATTCTGGGAGTTTAATTCAAAGAATCTGGTGTATCAGAGATTCCCCAGGCCTGGCTGTGCATTAATGATCTATATTAGAAAAACAAGTGAAATACTACACATGTTGCTATGACTATTTTGCAAGAAAGAAAGCTTGCAACTTTGCAGTGGGTGGATATGCTATAGCAAATGTAACATAGATGGAAGTCCTTTGTTCACCCTTTAGCCACCCCTCCAAGACCAGTTCTTCCCTATATTAGAATCTGAGATGCCAGTAAAAAGCTGTGAATTAACTTTTCTCCATTCTGCCTTTCTGACCATTGGATTTCTTGCAGTACTCAAGCTTAGAGGGCTCCAGAGGACAAGGTGGAATTGTTCTGCCCTGCATGTTTGGACAAGACCTATTGAAATCAGTGTAATGTAAAATTACCATAGATTTAAGTGATCTGATTTGTGACCATATGAATCCTAGGCAATAAAACTCAATTAGAATAATAGACATTCATTTACAGTCCAATCCAATTTGGAAATAAGGCCCACTGTTGCAACTTATGTCCAGGGAGGTTCAACCCCTTCACGAGTTGTGAAAAAAAAAATCATTTAATACTCACTTTAGAAATGCAGTTATATTTCTGGATTTCTTCACCATATACATCTGTATCCTGCTATTCTTTTGAACACTTTAAGGTTCATTCCCCAAATCCTGTAAAGCAGACCAGAATTGCAAATAAATTACTTGATGGAAAAAGAGACAGATTGTGATCTTTAAGTACAATCTCAAGTCATATTCCTAGCATAGGCATTAGTTTCCACAATGAGGAAATATGTGTTTTGATGTGACGCAAGAGCTCTGCTTCTTTGTACCTGGCTCATGATGTACCACACCTCATGTAAGGAGCAAAGTTTGCCTTAAAGTTTCACAATACAGTTTTTTTCACTGGTCTCCCTCTTCTAGATTCCCACACCTCAGACTCTTGATTCCTATTCTTCCCATATTTGTGAGAAGAATTTTTTTTTAATGTGACTGGTACGTATATGAAGAAACATCCAAATGTTTCTTCCACCTTCAATTCTCTAGACTAGGCTCTTTTATGACTCATGGACTTCAACTCCCAGAACTCCTGAGCCAGCATAGCTCTAGGCCATAAGGAATGACACTATAGGGTTGAGTTTTGGTATTCTTTTCCTCACAAATTATAGCATTTGGGTTTTTATTTTTATTTTAATTAAGAAAAAGAGAGATGGGCAATGTTGAAAAAACTATATAAACTTCAACAAGGTGTGGAGAAAATAGATAGGAAGGGGGCTTTCTTGTCTCATAAATGATTGTAGGTCAATGAAAGTTATTGGCAGGCAATCAAATGCATTTGACAGAATACCTAATGAATTTACAAAATGCTCTGCTAAGAAAAGGGATGAGGGCTGATGATTTGAAATGGGCACTGTTGTGTCCTGAGCCTGCAAAGGCAGGCTCAGGATGTTGCAACGGTCCCGGGCAGTTGCAAGCTGCCCAGGACCAGACTGGCTGGCGCCGGCGCTCGCTCGCCATGCGCCTAAATGTTGCCTTTTGGCCCGGGGGTTGTTATTAAAAGAGGCTGAGAGGCTTGCGTGCCTCAGAGTTGTAACGGGGCTACAGAACAATAATAAAGAGGCTCCTGAAACTACGAGATGCTTCATGACTTATTGCCATTAGCTGAGGACTCAACACTGGCGACGAGGATGGGATGCCTTATAATTAATTGAAGAAATTGTAAGCTTACCCTGGAGTCCTGAAAGCAGCAAGGAAGACAGCATTAAACTCAGCAA